TGTACTCAACAATGGTATGAAAATATAATGAATTCTAGTCAATGTTTTCACTATGATCCATTGAAATCATTTTGAAATGTGGAACGATACTTATTAATAGAAATACCATTGAAACATTAAAAGGCATTTTGTAATTTTCGTTGCTCCAATCATAAATTAGGTTTAGAAATAGGCAGCCATAAAAATATCCCAACGGAAGACCGTTTGTGTACAAACTTGTATTGATAATATAGATTGTGAGTTCCATGCTTTCTTCATATGTAAAAAATACAAGCACATCCATGAAAATTATTGGTATTTTCGCGGAAAAGAACTACATGATTTTTATGTATTCATAAGTACACGTGATACAACTACATTAAGGAAACTTATGTTTTATGTATATGTTTTAATGGAAAATATAAAAAATTATTAGTCTTTATCACATTTATAAACATTGTTAAGGTGACGCAACCATATTGCAAAATTAATGGAGGCCTTAGAACACAAATAAAGTTACTTGAATCTTGAATCTTAAATCTTATAGTAAAACCTATAAAAAAAGAATCATCTGAAGCGTCGAAGACTAGAGCTTAAATGTTTGGCATGAAACATTGTGGATATCTTCAAAGATTGTTCAAATTATGACCTAAGGGTGAAAATAAGCCCAGTTCTAGGTGTAATGCGTATAATTTATACATTAAACAAAAACTAAACAAATATTTTCTGAAATTGAGACAGCTAGCGCTAAGATATTTCATATCAAACATTGTCTAGTGGCATTGTCAGGGGACTCACTAACCTACTTTTTGTTATTTTACATAAAGCTATGAAAATTGAACCAAGCGCACAATATTGATGTGAAAATAAACTTTGTGATCAGCTGACCTAAATTTTGTACTACTGACCTACTTTCTTGCCTTTTTTGCATACAGCAATAACATTTTGACAATATGCACAGTTTCAGGTATAGGATTGAAATCTGATATCAGATTACCTAAATGTTGAATTAGTGACATACTTTCTTGTTTTTGACCATGTTATTAGGCCCATGTATATAGTAAACATAAAGTATTATCTAGTGACCAACAACGTTCAAAGTCTTGTTCAAACACTAATTTTCACTGATTTCACACAAAGTAAAGTTTGTCTTCATGTGTGCGCTTTGATCCAATTGTACCTTTCTTGTTTACCTGTTAAGATAATAGACACATGGTATTTTACTGTTAAGAGAAACATACACTTACGAATGGGAATAGTTACGACAAATGCTTTTAATAGTTTCTAAAGTTTTATTAAACAGAAATGATTTCTAAGATATCTAAGTGAACTGTATTTCATGTCACAAAAACCTTTTGTGTTACAGTTTAAGGTTAAAGCTCTCAAGTTTCCTCACTGAAATTTCTAATCAAAATAAAAGTTGAACTTCACAAAAATCAATGCGATAGATAAATTCTAAACAAATAATAATATTAACGTTGTGCACCAGAATAATTTCGAATAAATGCCATAGTATTGAGAAGTTTCCAGAAAAAGCCAAAACGGTGCACACAGTTAAAGCTTCCGAATGAGGGGAAACTGGCTATTTATATGCTATATTCAACAACTATGTGAGATAAAACGCTCCACAGATAGTTTGTGGGCTCAACGTATTTTTCATGGGATACAAAGCTCTACAATTTTTTTTTCTTGGCCAGCAGGTACCCCAAAGATTTTCCGTGGGCTCAACAATAATTTTCTGGGATATATATCTTTGGTACCCCAAAGATTTTCCGTGGGTTCAACAATAATTTTCTGGGATATATATGCCAACATTGGCACCTAATCAAGAAAGCATATACATCAAAACGTATGATAAGAACAAACACATTTAAACATTAGGTTGTCTTAATAACACTATAAGTAAACAAATTATTATAACGAATAAAGAAATATCTCATTGAATCAATTGTGTAACAGAATTGTCCAACATGGCCGAAAATTGCTTTACACATTTCGTAGATATACGGTGTTTACAATTACAATTTATTTACATTCTTTGTCTAGGGACTTTTAGGAAATTTAAGTCTATATACAATACAATGCAATACAATACAAAACTTTATTTCGCTTTAAACCACCGGCCCAAGCAAAACATATATACAAAAACAATTTACACTAAATTATAGCATATGCACAGTCTTTAAACATAATATAATATATATATTTTAAAATGAAAATGACAATTAAATTCAGGTAGATTTATTACGCAGATCTACATATAAAATGAGGCTATATCATGTACAATAAAATAGTAACATCTAGAGTGTGAAATAGAGGAATTAACTATTTTGACAGAAGTCACGAAAACAGATTACACGAAACACAGGATTCTACCATGGATAACATCTATGTGGAAATCATCCAGAGTCAGGAAGTATTAAATTGCTCGCACAATACGTAGATTTTCGTTTTACTAAATGTCCTGTAAATTTCATTAGGACACTTCATTAGAAATCAACAGCCATTTCATAGTTTGAAGTATCTTCAACATACATTCAGAGGTTGTAGAGGAAAAGACAAATACTTACAAAAAAACACAAAAAGGAATAATCAAACCTGCTCTTCTAAAATGGATCCAAGTTTGAAGTGAATAACTTTGGTAGTTTCTGAGACAATCGACCTTAAAGTTAAATGCCTGCAGACGAGCCAAAATATTTCAAAAATCAAACTTGAGCAAAAATGTACTAAGATTTTTAGAGTTAAAAATATTTTTAAAAGTTAAAAGACTCAAGATAGAAGTAAAAATTAACATATTATGTGTGATATATGGCTGATTAAGCAGACTAGTGCGTGACTAATGCAGTAAGGGATATTTTGCATTTTTGAAACCTATTTAGTAATTTACGTAGGTTGTAAGTGTTAATTACTTCATTTGATCACTTCACAATATTTCCTTTTTAAAAAACATTTTCAAAATGTCCATTGAAATTAACATGAATGATAAGGTATTCTGCTTTAAACGGTGTACAGCTCGATCTTATGAACTATTCTGTTTTTGAATTATAAACTGTAAAATAGTCTTCTTTCTAAGATCTAATAGCCAATTCTGGGTTCAAAAATAAGCACAAAGCAAAACATTTGTCTCTGGCTATTTTCAATATATCAATATGGAAAGACAATATATGTGATATTAAATATGAAGTTTAACAAACACATACATAAGCAAAAAAACAACAACAAATACATGTATATGTACAATAGTAATATTCACTTTCAAAAGCCATTTATAAGTCAAGTATACATTTATGTATTTTTAGATAAAGCACAATTATCAATCTCACAAAAAAAATTAATATGGTTTTCCTATTGTTTGAAATTATCAATCCATTAAATCTTTGCACTGTTGGTCATAGCATGTGCCTAGATATTTTGATCCCATATCTCTTTATATTGGTCAACATAAAACAAAATGTTATTCATTTTCAATTAAATTTTGATAACATAATTTACAATTTCTATTAAGTCTATCAATATTGATATATACAAGAAATTGAGACGTAGAGAGCCTTTCTCATATTATCGTTTAAAAATAGTATCAAGATACTTTTCAAATTCAAAATCGGTTGATAAGAATATTAGCTGTCAAATTTAGAAGAGCCGACATTCTTTTTCCCGATCTTGGTCTAAAACATTAAATAATTCAACTATAGTATAATTCTATTTACCCAATGCACACCGGTAATATTGTCTTATTGATACAGGTAGATCATTGGTTTTCATTTCTTTTAGTAAAATATTAACGGATCGTTCTTTACAATAACTGACAAAGGAAATGAGCCTAGCTCATAAACAACACATTTAAGCGTCTGTTTAGAGAAATGTTCATGTTACAAGACATTGAAACACAAGACTGAACATTGGAATATATACATTTGATCATGTTGGTTATTCTACAGCCATAAAGCATCTCTGTGTTAGGTATCAAAAGCTAATAATCAATAAAAACACAACGTTATTTACAAGTTTTTGACAAAAAAATCTTTGTATTATAGAATGTAAAAAAAAGATATTGCATCAGCGACAGAACGACCATCATAAAAACATATTGACAATTATTTGAAACATTTCCAGTTTCACACCTGTAATTTAGTAGATTTCATAACATCAGTGAGAATACGATATACTATCAATAACATAGACTAAAGTAAAAGTAATACCCCTGAAATAAGTGATAGCATTCTTGTCACCTTTTTAAAAAATGTCACACCTTGTGACCAAGAATCTCGGTAAATACAATTATCATACATAAGATAAAACAATATTCACAGATAAAGGGATGATATCATTGGCATCGATAAAGAAATTAGCTACATTATTATCATAATCAGAACTCTTTCACGATTTAAAAGTGATATTGTTTTCCTTAGTTCTTCTACAGAAATAGTTCTGTCTAAATGATCAAAATTAAAAAAATAAATCAAATATTATTAATATCACTTGTTAAAAAGTCATCATATAAAAGACAATCCTTAGAAGCATTTAATATGTGTTCATAAAAAGTATTAATACATCAAAATTCACAAAATCACAATGTCTGTATAAAAGTCTAAACTTTTATATTCTCTGTTATTAAAGTTATATTTCATCTTAATTTAATCTTATATAATCTTTCCTACTATCGAGCACATACACTTTTTCAGCATTTTAACCGGATATAGAAAAACGTTTTTTTTTGTATTATAAATCTGTTTCTTTGCTATTTAACACTCATTTTTGAACCACAAAGACTTTCGTTTCTTCGGTTTATGGTGATTATTGAATGTTGTTCAATAATAACAAAATGATATATGAAATCTGGCATGAGAAAAAAAGACCTTTAACAAATGACGTCTAAAGACGTCAACATTGTCTTTAACGTTTAAGATAAAGAAAGCGAATTGCTTTTGAAATGTTAAATATAGATTTGAATAATAAACAAACAGCAAATTTCAGAAGATTTTATTTATTTCAAGAGCAATTTAAAACTAAAATACGCCATTTTATGAGTTTCACAGTATATGTGTGCTGCCTAGTATTTGATTTAGAGAAAATATGACAAAAAGAAAGTTATTGAAATCATATCTCCATACTTAGTCTTTATGATCTGTAAATATTTTCTCTTCTTAAGATTTGCTGTTGGCATCTCTGGCATTCTTCTGTTTCCTCTGCACAAGTTTCACAACTGTAGAAGTGATAGCACGTTAGGAACAATATTTGTCGAGGGCGGGAATGACATCTCTGACAGACATATCTTTCAATCAAGTCTAATTCATGCCTTTCCTCGGAAGGTCGTCTGGCTCCATTAATTAAAGGTATCCTGTCTAAATAAAAGTACTTTCACATGTGTATACGTACAGATATGTTAAGAATAATTAATCTCAGCTTTTGTCGCTGGGTTTTTTTGGGGTTTTTTTGGTATTTTTATCACTTTTTTCTATATTTCTATTATTGAAATACTCAGAAAAAGATAGCATCAACTTACTTATACAAATACTATACAGTATCATGGTGTCATGTTCATTACATATGAAAAAAAAAATTTTTTCCTTATCTACATGTGAAGTATCCAAATTTACTTACTGTGGGTTGTACCAGACATAACACTGTTTACTCTTGATAGTATATCTGGAGGAGGTAGTTTAAGATCTTTAACATCGGTTTGCTCAACTTCTTCGACTGAGTCTAAATATATGTAAAACATTTTCAAATCTTATTTTTCGTTGAAAGCGATCTTTAATATTACTTACTGAAATAATTTTGTCTCTGCTTCATTTAAAAAATAAACAAAAGTAAGATGTGCGTTTTTGTTTTACTAAATTTTTTTAGTTTGGTCCAACTTTAAAATAATTTTCATTTGCAGACATATAGGAGTTTTTAACATTTCAAATTGCATCAAGCATGATTTGTACGACATAAATTTCTCATTACTTTAATTATAGGAGCCTGCAACATTCAATTTTGCCGAATAGATAGTCTTTTTTTAAATATTTTTAAGTCACGTGTACACATGCAGAAGATAGGTGGATAATATGATTTAAATTTTAAAGGAAAGTAAATCATTTGGTTATTTGATTGAAAGTTTCAAAACAAACAATGTTCTCGCATTTTTATTGGCTAATTCTTCTTGCATTTTCAGGTCTGAGATGTAAAGATACCCTGAAATGGTCTGCTCTTTAAAACACATTCAACTATGTTTTCATTTTCCTTTTTCTTAACGAATATAGTAGTCTACTTTTGTTTGGTGTTTTTAAGGTTCTCTTTTTATGTATTTCTCTACACCACTTGCCCAAGAGGATATAGAATCCTCATAAAAATCTCGCCGCATTTCCAAAAAATATATGTAAAAAAATAACCAAGACGAAAACTATAGAAATTGTTAACGTAGAAAGGTAAACTGTGAAGATACATACGTGTATAGCTAAAATATGCTCTCAAATATATTTCCAATATTATCCGCGCCAATATCCATAAGTTCACTGTCATCAGAAGCAAAGAAAGAAATTCGCGTAATTTGTCAGCCATTTTTTACAATTTATCTAACGTCCATCTTTACACTTTATACTCTTTAAAAATGATAAAAACTGGGAACCCAAATTAATCATGTAATACGCATTAAATATATGACTCATATATGACATGTCGTTTTTTCCGCTCCATGAGGCAGAAACAATGAAATACGACATAATCAGCATTTTGTCGTTTATCGTGATATTTGTTTTCGCCTTGTGGTTGAGCGACAGCAGACCAAGTGGTGACCTTGTCGTATTAGCGTATTTTAGCCTAGCGCCCCGCGGAGCAAAAATAAGACAAAATGTTGACTTTTCCGTATTTTCGTGTTTTTGCCTTTTGCATCTTGTTGAGTAAATAAGAGTAATTTATTTTTCTTTTATTTTTCTTTTATTTTTTTAAAAACAACCGTAGCTAAGATCTTTTTAATATTTTATTCTTACTTAAGATTGACAGCAACTAGACATAAATCGAGATACTATTTCGGAAATATTCAGCCTTTATGGTTGGTGAATTATACCAAAGGGGAGTTTGCATACACAAGCACCAGCCCCGATCTGATTTATGTCTTAATGATAATAAATGTTTGTAATTACAAGCACGATCGTTACTGAAATTCGAGATTTATTTTCGTGTTATAGTCAGATTTTACAAATACGCAAAGTCGATTGCTAAAAGCTTGTCTAAATAAATTGTAACATGCACATACTTATGGTACTTGTCTAGCTCAGTTAAATAATCATAACGTTATTTAGTTTCCTGCGGAGTCCATAAGAGTGTCGTCCGATGTCCGTCAGTACGTTTTTCAAAGTCAGATAAAAGCACAAACCTTGTAGACTTAAAATTGATAAACAAATCTTGCATAGATCTATTCATATGTAAGAACTTTATTGTATTAAATAAGTGTTTGTATGTAATCAAACAGAAACTTGTTTGTTTAAATCTTTTACAGCTATTTATGAACATAAGCAATCAGATAATGTAACGAATAATGATAATTAAAATACTGTTTATAAACGAAGCATTTTGCATTGACATAATTGGCGTTAGATAAGTTCATAATGAATCATTTAATATGGCATTCATTTCACGTGAAAATCTTTATGTCGGATTAACAGACGGCGTCCGTGAATAGGCTTTTCACAATTTTATTCAGCCGAGCCTATAACATTTTTAATTTTGCCGTATTAAGGACCTATAATGTTTCCAAGTGTACTGTATTGCTTCAACCAAAACTTGATTGTCTGATTAATAAGATTTCGTTTGTATGTATTATATTTTAATAATTATGGATTTTATTTCTCGTTTTCTCAATTTGATTTGTCTTCAATTTCCTTAATCTGTCTACTGTACAATCTGTACAAACTGTACAATAATGACATTTGTGCACGTTTAAAAAGTTATTTCTATCATACACTTGATGCGCCAACAATCATATCAGTCCTTTTAATCTTTACTTTGTTTAAAGCTTAACAAAAATGACAAACTTAAAAAAACTTTTTTTTTGCTCTAGTATCCGAATACGAATATCAATGTTTTTAATGTTCCATTCTTTCATTTGGCAATTTAAGTCTAAAAATTGATGAATTATTGTTGTACCTAATTTTTATATTTTTATTTACAATTTACGTCCGTATATAAAACACTTTTACAAACTCATTACTTAAAGTCGTCTAGATTCATTGCATTAAAACGTGTGAAGTACACTAATTACATTGCAAGATGGTTTTATTGGTTTTCTTTATTTTCTATTACAAATGCAGCTTTACAAGCTTTATAACTATCAAAATTCTTAAACGATTTTTGTTTATATGATGGTCTTTTACGTCTATATAGCTTCTATTAAAGGAAAAACAAATTTAAGAAGCTTTAATTTCTGAGAAATAACCGTTTCAAATTTAACCTTTCTAACATGCATGGTTAATTGATCAACAAAAAGCTTAGGATTGTCAATTTGTTCATTTGATCAACACTGTCATAAGAAACAGTCATCAATAGAAGGAAGAAGGAAGATAAATTGATATAAAACACGACGATTGGTTGACTATTTCTGTTTTTACGCACATTTTTGTCTTGTCATAACTCTGCGGCAGAAGTTACTAGGAAGCTTATCAGTACACAACAAATCAACATGATAACTTAATCAGTGGTGAGATTTAGACTTTATGTTCGGCGTTTGTTTGTTTGTTTGTTTGTTTCATTTAACGCCTTTTCCCAACAGTATTTCAGTCATATAGGCGGGTAGTTTCCTAACCATCGTTCCTGGAGAGTTACACCAGTACTAGACTACCTTCCTCCGCGCTAAACTACCAAAGCATCTCCCGGGGATCGAAACCATGCCAGAAAGGTAACTGGATTAGAAGTCATTGACTCTAACCCCTCGACCCCGTCCGACGTAAATTGTTACGAAGAAATCCGACTTGCTCATAGATCTAACAAATGACCACAAGTGTATCATTTGAGCTAAGCGGGTGACAAAACTAGATATTTATACTTGTCTGCAAGGTGATTGATTTTGTGGGTTTTTATTTCAAAAGGTTAATTATCAATAAATGTCATGTTATATGATTTGCCAGAAAACAAAAAAAGTCATGCTTGTTCTTTTGATGTAATTATATAGTGAATATTCAGGACTAATGTCTTGCTTTGTGACTACTATACTATTTTATAGAGCAAGCGGTTAACCAAGTTATCATCAATACAACAAAAATGCACTCAATTTTATTCGTTCGTGAGCAGTAAGATAATGTAGTAAAACCGTTTTAACTTAATATCACAATAAGAATACTCTGAACAGTAAAATATAAACTTTTGAACACTTTTTTAATCTGATTACTTTTATTTCTACAAGATGATATATACACATAGCAATTAATTGTGATTAAAGATTCTACGTTTACAATATTTATCAAGAAATATCAAAAAAAATGACAGAGTTTATGTCAAATTGGCACAGAAAAAGCCGGCCTCTTAATATATTTCATGTAGACGGAAGATTTGAGACGAACTGACCACCTTTTTATCATATTTATTTCCTTAAACATTGAAACATACTTTATCTTTTTGTATTTTGACAACTGTTCATCGTATTCCAGTTGAATAAAAAAATTTACATTTCGTTTTGATACAGGAAATTATTTGCCGAGGTTCATATTGTTTATTAGTCCTCTTTTAA